CTGAGAGATGGCCATTTTTGACCTGATATTCTCCTCATACCTGAGATACAATGAGCTAGGAATCTGTGAAGATTTTAACTTCTTCGGCCCCTAAATCTTCGTCCAGGCTTAGTCCTGCTAGAAATGCTTCTTACTCGGCTTGGTTGTTTGAGGTCAGGAAAGATAGTGTGATGGAGAATTTGATCAAGATTCCTTCCTCGTTCTCTAATATGATTCCCGTTCCGCTCGCTATTGAACTGGAAGCCCCGTCAATGAAGATGGTTCATCTACGCGCTCCGCTCGTCAGAGAGGCTGGAAAGGTAATTTCTGCCACGAAGTCGGCCAATACCCGAGCTTTGAGGGATTTTCTTATTTCATATATGATGTCAAACTTATAGAGTTCTAGCGACCATTTGAGCATGTTGCCCACCATGTATGGTCAACCGGTAACTGCTTTATTGATTGGTCTGTCCGGACTATAATCTTGTGTGCCAGAAAATAAATTCTCAACCTTCTTGTTGTGTTAATAAGCATTAGGGATACTTTCTCGGTTTGTTGGTAACTTACTTCAGGGCCTTGTAAGGTCTTACTCATGAAGTAGATAGGTTTTTGCCTCTCGGAGGTTTCTCGGATGAGGGTGGCGCTTACGACCTCGGATGCTACAACCATATAAAGGTAGAAAATTTCTTCCTTATTTGGTCGTGAAAGGACTGGCGGTTGCAATAGTGCCTATTTGAGGTGGACGATGGTGCACTCACACTCCTCGGTCCACTTGAAGGATGCCTCTTTGAGGAGGAGTTTGAAAAGAGGAAGTGTGTGTTGGGAAGATTTTACCACGAAACGGGATAACAATGTGAGCATTCCGTTTAGGATTTGAATTTATTTCTTTGATTTTGGCGTTGAAAAATTATAAAATGTCCAGTACTTATCAGGGTTGGCTTCGATTCCTCATTTTGTTAGGTAGAAACTGAGGAATTTACCTGCCTGCACATCGAAGGTGCATTTTTCTAGGTTGAATCGCATTCTGCGTTTCCTTGCTTAGTTGAAGACTTTCTTTCGGTGGAGAGCATGGATGGTTTCTTCTTTGTACTTTACTATCATGTCATCCATGTAGACCTCGAGCATGTCTCCTATTTCTCCTCGGAAGACCTTATTCATCATTCGTTGGTATGTAGCGTTGACATTCTTTACACTAAAGGGAATTACGTTGTAGTAATAGTAGTTTGACTCGATCATGAAGGTCGCATACTTCTTGTCCGTCTTTGTTATTGGGATCTGGTTTTATCTAGAATACACATTCATGAACGACTGTAATTTAAAACATGCTGAATTATCAACTAATTTATCTATGTTGAGCAAGGGATAATCATCTTTGGGACAAGCCCTATTGAGATTAGTATAGTCAATGCACATGTGTCATTTTCCAATATTCTTTTAACAAGCACTACATTAGAAAGAAAGATTGTATACCGGGCTTCAGAAATAAAATTTTCCTCTAGGAGGTCTTTAACATGTTACTCGGCAAACTCGATTTTTCCGGGGACTGCAAAGGTGCCTACACTGAGCAACTTCCTTAATAGCAATATCTATCGTCAGATGATGGCAAGCTATCTTTGGATCCAAGTCAGACATTTCTATTGTGCTCTAGTCGAAAAATTCTGCATTTTCTCTGAGGTGCGCTGTAACGCGGTGGGAGAACTGACTTGGTGTTTTGCGTTTGATTGCAATTGTTGCGGATAGCAAGAGTCGCCATCGACTTTTCTATTATCCAAAAGGAAAGGTTGAAAAATATAGGAAAGACCTTTCGAGATTATTTCTTGAGTTTGGGGGGTAGGTTATGAAAAGGGAGGGTGTTAGCACCCTTTTCATCCGTAGTTATCTATGGGCTCTTAGTTGTTTGCTAGATCACTTGCTTTTTGTTTGAAAATGTGTTTGTGGGTTTTGAAATTATTTTGAAAAAGAATGTCTTTGTAATGGTTTTCGTATCTATAAGAACGCGTACAAAGTGTTATTTTAAAAATAGTTCAAATAGGTGTTTGTGGAATGTGTTTTTGAAGGTGATTTTAAAAAGTTGTCTTTGTAATGGTTCTCGTTTCTATAAGAACGCGTACAAAGTGTTTTAACTTTTGAAAATGTTTCCAATGAAAGTGTGGGTGTAAAATGTTTTTGTCGTGAGCAAGCGAGCAACTAGGAGTAACCTAACTAATCAAAAGGTCTTAATATTATTTTCCTCCTCCTTTTGATGTTGTTATCTTACCATTGTTTTGGTAAGAAACCCCATCGTTGGATGTGAAGGGACGGACGCGGGACGTTTGTATAGTCATAGAAGGCAACTTATGGGACGTTTTAGCAATGTCGTTTAGGGACTAGATCATTTACTAAAGGTAACATTGAGGGTCATTGAGGGACTGCGATCTTTTATCGAGGGTCTTTGCTAAAATGCCCATATTCGAGGGACATGACTATTTTCTGAAAGGCAACAAAGCGGGATTACCCTAAGGGTGCAAGTGTGAAAGTGTGTTTGATTGCATGCATTTAGTCTTAATTAGGGTTGTCTATTTGTTAATTTTATGTCTTGCCATACATACCTTATCTTACTAGTAATTATATGAAAAGCGGTAAACTTGCAGAAATTAAAATCATACGCTATTACATCATTAGGGGGATGGGGATACAATTTGCAAATGGGGATGAAATAGGTGTCTAACTATTACAACCATATCGAATAAGTGGACAATAATAGAGTATATATATATATATATATATATATATATATATATATATATATATATATATATATATATATATATATATATATATATATATATATATATATATATATATATATATATATATATATATATATATATATATATATATATATATATATATATATATATATATATATATATATAATACAGAAACAATGTAACAAGAAGGAAAAACTGCATTTTGAATTATTATGTGTCGACACATGCTGTTATGCATCGACACATAACTTTCCTTACCCCTGCCAAACCAAATCAACTCAGTATGAGTCGACACATAATGACATGTGTCGACTCATTTCCTGCTTGTATCAACACATACACATTTTGTGTCGAATCATGCACCTTCCATCTTTCTGTTTTGGGACCTGGATAGAAGTATGAGTCGATGCATAAGGCCATCTGTCGACTCATATCCTATTTTTTCACTTAGAATGAGTCGACCCATGTGGGTATGTGTGGACTCATGTTGCAATTTTTTGCCTCTATCACCATTCTTTTGCATGTATCAGTCAGTTTTCAACATATAAATGATAAAGATGAACAACAAGTAAATGATTAACTTCAAGAGTGGTGATTGCTACATCTTATTTTCAGAAATAAACCATAAATGATGAATGGAAAATGCAAGGTTAAGATGACTTACCTTGAAACTACACTTAGGTTTTGAGTCTGAATACCCTTTAAGATGTTGTGTGGACCTTAATGAAACTCCAGGAAGCTGCTAGACCTCCTTTTATGTTGAAGGTTGCTGAACCAACTCCAAACAGTCAAGTTTGTGTAGTACTGTCTTTTGTTTAGAAGTTAAGAATAAGGGCACTACAGAAACTGTTCTTGTACTTGAATAATATCTATGTGATGTGAAGTGTTTAGAGGGTTTATGGGAGAGTTTGCAAGGTTGTACAATAATGGGTTGAGAATTTTCTGTTTTATGAGTGAAAACAGAGTTGAAGATGAGTAGAGTCTTATGAAAATGAGTTGAGTTTTACAAAAGGATGATCATGTCCATGAAGATGTTGATGTTTTTTTAGCCTATGTTGATGTTGAGGATTTGCATAAGGCTCGTGCACTATAAGACGTGGATGAAGATGTTAATGATAACTTGAATGACATAAAGGTGCTTAGGTGACAAAAATAATGAGATTGTTATTAGAAATAAGGAATAACTTGTAACACAAGACCATGCTCAAATCAAAGAGGTTGCATTTGATGAATATTAAACTCCTATTTCCCATTTTAAAGCCATTTGAATGTTGCTAGGTTTGTCTTGTAGCCTTATGTTCACACTTTATCAGATGGATGTGAAAAGTGTCTTCCTCAATAGGTACTTGAATGTAGAAGTTAATCAGAATGTTAGTAATTATGTCATTGACAAGGACAGGGTCATTAGAAGGATGAGTATGTGTAAGGAGATGAGGATGATGACATTCCTTTTGGAAACATAATGAAGAGAAACATTAAGAATATAACTAAGTCTGAAGATAAAACTACTCAAGAAAAGGATAAAGAAGTGGTGAATGTGGATGAATAGACTGGAACTGATGAAGAACATGTTGTTATTATGATGAAGAGTATAACTAGGCATGTTGTTGATAGAGTAAAAGAGAAGAAGTTTATAAACAGAAAGCTTGTACAATCAAGTGAATTTGAGACAAACGTTGAAGAAGACATTCGGGACATTGTGTCTACCAAGACGAGAAAGGTTGGTGGAAAGAGAACTCACGTGAATGTTCTTTCCCCATGGATAACGTGTCATTAAATTCTGAAACAAGTGTTCAAATATGGAGATATGTGTTTTAAATAATGATTGCAAGCGAACAAGCTCTTTATTGCAAAGAAATCATGAGTTTACTGAAAAATATTGGACTAATGAAGACATTTACTAATATTGGTCTTTACTATGAAAAACTAGTCAAGAAGTTTATTGTGAACATCTCTTCTAATTATAACATTGAAGGAATCAAGGAGTATAAAAAGATGTATGAAAGAGGAAAGTGTGTGAGGTTTTCCCCTTCCATCATTAATGACTAGTTGGGCAAAATCAAGTTTACATGTCCTGACAAGGTTCCCTCCATCGATAAGATTACTAAAGATATTTGTTATAATATTAATGTCTTTAAATATGGTAATGAAGAAGTCCACCAGGATATGCCGTAAAACATGTATGACATGTTGGTGACTGATTTTCCAACTTAGAGGAAGGATGTGAAAGTTGTCGGTGTTAATTCTGAAGTGAGTGATGAGGTGAATAATATGAGTGACAACATTGATGATGATGTTAATGACCCAGTCAGTGTTGTTGATGGTTATATCCCTAAGAACAACGAAGTTCATGACCGGTCTACTCTTGTCAAGGAAAGTGTTACTAAAGATGTTGGTCTTAATAAAAAGTCCGACAAAATGTCAAAGAAAAAGGTGGAAAATAAAAAGGTTGTGTTGAATGCTAAAAAGACTCCTTCCAATAAGATCCCTACTCCTACCAAGGCAAAGAAAACTCCTAAGAAGAAGAAGAAGAAATATGTGGTGGTTAGTAAGAAATCAATTAGGAAGAAAGGGAATGTTGCTCATTGTTGAGATACAAGATACTAAGAAACATTTGAATAAACTATGTGTTTTAAAAAGCACTACAGGGACTATATTATATATAGATATATTACAGATAATTACATGATATAGTCGATGTGCAAATATTTTATATACAAATATTCTTAACACTATATATACAAATATCAACACCCCCCTTCAAGCTTCATCATATAAGTCAAATGCACCAACCTTGCCACACATATAATTAGTTTTGGGACTTTGCATGGGTTTTATAAACACGTTTGTCAATTGATCATTAGAGTTGACAAAGCTTGTGATGATATCGCATGATACAATCTTCTCTTTGACAAAGTGACAATATATCTTAACATGTTTAGTCCTCTCATGGAAGACTAGATTTGAAGCAATGTGTAATGAAACTTGATTATCACAAACAAGTGTCATTGGTCATGCTTCTTCAATTTGAAGTTCCTTGAGAAACCGCTTTAACTAAATGAGTTCACATGTTGCCATTGCCATTACCCTATACTTTGCCTCGACGCTTGATCTTGCAAATACATTTTGTTTCTTACTTTTCAAGGATATAAGGTTTCCTCCAACAATTACCCAATACCTAGAGGTGGATTGTCTATCAATGGGTGAACCTGCCCAATCAACATCAGAGTGTCCAACTATCTGAGTATATCCTTTATCTTCATACACGAGACCTTTTCCATGAGCACATTTTATGTATCTCAAAATACACACAACAATATCCATTTGTTCCTGGTAAGAAGAATTTAGGAGTTAGCTTACCACACTGACTTCAAAAGAAATGGTCAGATGAGTGACTGAGATAATTCAACTTTCCAACCAATCTCCTATACCTTTATGAGTTAGATTGAGGCTTCCCCTGATTGGGTAGGAGTTTGACACTTGGATCCATAGGAGTATTAGTTGGTTTAGCATTCAACAAACTTGTTTCTTCCAAAATATCCATAGCAAATTTCAGATGAGAAATCACCAAACTATCTTTAGATTGAGATACCTTAATACCCAAAAAACAGGGGAGTTCGCCAAGGTCTTTTGTTTGAAATTGATTTGAGAAATGTTGTTTCAATTGGAGTATTCCCTACTAATCACTACCAGTTATGACAATATCATCTACGTGTACGATAAGATAAATACACCATTGGTCTGAGTGACGATAAAAAACAAAATGGTCAGCTCTACTATGGACCATACCAAACTGTTGTAATGTAGTGTTTAATCAACATAACCAAGCTCTCAGATATTGCTTAAGACCATAAATCGACTTGTATAGCCTACAAACCATATTCTATAACTCCCCCTGAGCACCAAACCCAAGTGGTTGCTCCATATATACTTCCTCTTCAAGATCACCATGTAAAAAAATGCATTTTTGATGTCAAGTTGATGAATATACCACTTTCGAATGGCTGTAATGGCTAAAAGAAGTCTAACATATGCCATTTTGGCTACATGAGATAAGGTATCATTATAGTCCAACCTAAAAATCTGAGTGTATCCTTTTCCCACCAAGCAAGCTTTAAATCAATCAATCTTACCATATGGACCAACCTTCACTGTATAAAGCCAACAACAATATACTAAATATTTCCCACGAGGTATAGGAAACAGTTTCCATGTACCATTTCCTTGAAGAGTACACATTTCATCAATCATTGATTGCCTTAGTTCAGGGTGAGATAATGCTTTACTGGGAGTTTTAGGAATATAAACAGAAGAAAAAGAAGACAAGCAAGTATACTGCAAAGGGGAAAGACATTGATAACATATTAACATAAATTAATATAATACGAAGAAGGATTTCGTTTTTGACATATACCTTTTCAAAGGGAAATCAGAAGATCAGACTCATTTTTCAGAATTGGATCCGGTTATGGCTTGAGTGTCGAATGAGAGTCTGTAATGAAGTGGTCGAGAAGTGTGTGTGTGTGGGAGGGGGGGAGGGTCAGCCGTAGGGATTTCTAGTGGGCCAGGTTCCCGAGAATGATGAGGGACAATGGCATATGAGACTTCTGGAAGAGGCGTGAGAGTACTTTCCTGAAGGGGTTATAGAGTTACTTGGTTGGACTCGTAATATGGAACAGACTCGAAGAAGGTAACATCGACCGATATGAGGTACCATTGTAGAGTATGTGAATAACAATGATAACCTTTTGGGATCAATGATAACCAAGAAAAAAAATACTTTAGTGATTAAGTTGATAATTAATCAAGACTATGAGACAGATTGTGTACAAAATATGTAGACATGAAGACTTGGGGAGGAATTGGGTGGAGAGGAGAATGAGAAAAAGGATCAAATGAGGGATTTTGTTGTTAAGGACAAATAATAGAATGTGATTTATAAGGTAACATGTCGTTAGCACATCATCTCCTAAAAACTAAAGTGGAACATTACCATGGAGAAGTAGGGTCTTAGTGGTTGCTATGAGATGCCGATTTTTACGTTCGACTACCCCATTTTGTTGAGGTGTATGAGGGAAAGATGTTTGGTGGAGAATACCATTATTGACCATAAAAGTTTGAAATTGTTGGGATAAGTATTCACAAGCATGATCACTTCTTAAGGTATGAATAAACATATCAAACTGAGTTTTTATTTCTTTATAAAATTGTTCAAAAATAGAAGAAAAAAATCATATATATTTTTCATTATAAATAACCATTTGCAACGTGAAAAATCATCAATAAATGTGACAAAATACCTAGACTCACAAGTATAGACAGTATGTGAGGGACCCCAAACATCAGAGTAAACTAAAGTAAAAGGGGACAAAGCTCTTTTATTGACTTGATTGGGAAATTAACTACGAGTGTCTTTCCTTAACTTACACGACTCACAATGTAAATTATACACCTTCGATAAACTTGGCACCAACTTCTATAGTTTGTGAAGACTATGATGACCTAACTGTGCATGGATGTGAGTGGAGAATCTTTGAATGAGCATGTATGAGATGGCTGTGAGAGGAAATAAACGCCTTAAGACTCATATTGGTGTCAATCGTCTGTCCTGAACTTTGATCATGCAGGGTAATATTACTATTAGTGAAGGTGACAATACAATCAAGAGAACGAGTTAAACGACTGACCGAAATTAATCAAATGGATAATTAGGTACATAGAGAATAAAAATAACAGAAAGAAAATGTAGAATTTGAACAGTACTAATTCCTTCAGATTGAGTTTGAGAACCATTGGCAAAAGTTATAGTAGGTAAGAAACTAAAGGTAGAGATGAAGGAAAATTGCGATCAAAAGCGCAGCGGAATTTAAAAAATTCCTTTAGCGATCCTTACGAATGAGCATGGTTAGTGATAGAAATATTTACCTCTTGTGGCGATTCAGACCTTTGATGTTGTGATCACGAGCGTTGATGAAGAACAACGCCTCTACTCAGTCCACACGAACAAATCGCTTCCGGTCACAGTGCTAGCTGATCACTAACGGAAACCTTGAGTGAGAGAGAGAATCAAAAACGAAAATGCATCAAGTGAAATTGCTTCATCACAAGGGATCTATTTATATAATCACTCGTGTGGGCTACAAGCTAAAAGCCCAATTAAGGCTATAAGCTAAAAGCCCAATTAAGCTTATGGACATCATACCTTATGATGTACCATATATCACTTATCCACGTGGTACCTTACCACTTTCCGTATTACACTTAAGTGCACCGTATCTTACGGTGTTCCTTATTTATTCTATCTCTCATCAACTTGTCCTTATGTGTGTGACCCTGTAGGTTTTTGCGACATTGGCAATTATATTAAATCACACATTTAATATAATAAACAGTGAGCGGTATCTAGCAACACATCACTGTTACCCAAGTCACGAAAATGTCATGTGATCTGACCAAACCTTTTCCGTGATAATATTTGTGTTGTACAATTACCCTTTTGCCCTCATGTCTATATTGAACACAAGGCATACACTGTGTCACCCTTGTCCAGTTCAATATTGGGCCCTTAGACATTTATCCTGTTATGTAGGATGAGCAAATTCCATCTAGGTCACTCATGTCCCTTAGCATGCTTTGTGAAGTATCCATCAAGCGTCTTTATAGTCATCCAGTTACGGATGACGTTTGATCAACAATAAAGTACTTGACTCTACATCTAGGGTCCATAGTGGTTTCAGGTCGAAGGGTGGTATACACCATTATCATCATGAGAATAACTTATGACACTTTGCATAACATTCTATGTAGTATTCTCATAGCGGGTCAATCCAGTATAAATATTACTCCTAATATTCATACCTATGTCAAGACTTGATAACTCCTTATCTATGATCCATGAGATGTGATCATCAATCTATCTTCATAATAATCTTAATACTTTAATGTTATCCCACTTCACATTAAAGCTTGACTACGGATACTTTAAGAATAGTGTCTTATGTTTAATGGGATCTCATGATTAAGTCACACTTAACATTTTATTAAACCAATAAACCATTCTAGGGACTTTATTATTTTGGAAAGCAAACATAATAAAGAAATGCCTTTTATTATTAATAAATAATTCGATACAAGTACCAAAAGTATTGGCCTCTAGGGCTTACACCAACAATCTCCCACTAGCACTAGAGCCAATCAGGCATACCCCTAATACCCATAGATCTAGTATGTCCATCATGCTTCAGATGCGCAAGAGACTTTGTTAATGGGTCAGCAACATTGTCAAGTGTAGGTACTCTGCATATTTTCACATCTCCCCGATCGATTATCTCTCGAATGAGATGATAACGCCTAAGTATGTGTTTGGATCGTTGGTGAGATCTAGGCTCCTTAGCTTGTGCGATAGCACCATTGTTATCACAATAGAGATCAATGGGATCCACAATGCTATGGACTATGCCAAGTTCACTAATGAACTTCTTGATCCAAATAGCTTCCTCTGCTGCAATTGAGGCAGCAATATACTCAGCCTCGGTTGTAAAATCAACAACTGTATCTTGCTTTAAACTTTTCCAGCTCACAGTGCCACCATT